GTCCTTCTTGAAGAAGTGGAGGTCATCAGCGTCGACGTATTGGCTCCCCCGCTGGAGTGCTTTGAGGTATGATCTTGGGGGGTCGGTGATGAGGCTCCGTGCGTAGGGGCTGCTGCGAAGAACCCCCTAGAAGAGGATGAGGAGGGTACGCTCATCAGCGCCCTCGACCTCGTATGTCTCCTTCATCCACCGATCAATGAAGGACCGAAGTGTTTCGTTAGGCTGTTGCTTGACGGAGAGGAGGTAGGAGAACTGCTTTTTCGTGCGCTTCCTTCCGGTGAAATGGGTGAGGAAGCGTTGGGCAAGATCTTGCCATGAGTCTATACTCCCCTCGAGCAACGCGTTGAACCATTCGTACGACGGTCCCTCGAGAGTGGAGAGGAACCAACGGCATAAATATTCGTCAGATGCATTGACCATCGGCATGTTGTTTTGATATCGGCTGAAATGTTTCTGGGGGTCGATGCGGCCGTCATGCGGCTTCATAGTGCTTCCCCGGTATTTCTCGGGTATTGGGGCCGAGAGCACCCTGGTGGTGAAGGGGGTCTTGGTCCTGACCTAGATGATGGGGTCACCACGCCCCTCAGCGAATTCCCTCTCCAGAGCACTGAGTTTGTTCATGAGGGTGTCAAAGCCGGGATTCCCCGATGAGTTGGCTGTAGGAGTGGCAGCCAGTTATCTTGCTTCCATCTCAGCGAGCCTTCTTTCAAGTTGGGCGATGATTTCGTTCCGAGGGTCCTCGAAGGCCGTGGCGGCGCTGGGGGCCTGGTTACGAGTCGCATTGATGTGGTGGCGTGCGTCCTCCTCATGTAGCTCTCCTTTGCCTTTGTCAAGACGGTGCCGATCCGCTGTCCGGGATACGGTCCCAAATCTCTCCCTCGGTGAGACAGGCTCACGTTGACCCATCCGTCCCGCTAGCCTCTCCGATGCTGGCCGACGGTGCGCATCCCCTAACCTATTGAAGGCTGAAGGTCTACGCACTGGGGTCGGTCCAGCTCGGGGAGGGGAAGCAGGATCGGAGCGGGAGGTCGTGTCCTGAGCCCTGACCCCCTCATCGTTGCGTACATTCATGACCAACGGATGAGGAGGGGGCGGAGAGAAAGGGACGATGTTCCCCTCGGCATGGGCCGGGGGCGATACCAGAGTTCCGAAGGCTCCGGGATTCTGGGTGAGCGTGTGGATGAAGGCAGATAGGATCGATTGCATATCAGCGGTGAGGACCGGGGGGCTCACCTGAATCTCACCCCGATCTTTCCTTTGGGCCTCGATGCCGAGGCAGGCATCGAGAACGTTCTCTTGGAGTTGAAGGGACATGTCTGCAGTGGCCTGCACTATTTCGGCGAGGGCTCCGCCTTCGGGAGCTTTGTTGGAGACCTCGGCAGTGTCAATCCCGAAGGCTTTGTTGGAGGCTTCGACCTTGGAATGGGCATGAGTCGCTCTTCCCATTTTGATGAGTGTTTTTGTTTTTCCGAAGGGGAGGGTTTCTTACTTGATTATTCGACCTCTCAACGAGAGCATCAAATGATGGATAGTGTACCCGGGGGTAGCTTATTCGAGGGGTTATTACGGTGAATAACCTAGAGGGAAGTCAGAGCAAGTAAGTAAGAGAGAGAGTCAAATGTATTAAATGAACTCGTTTTCCTTTACAAGGTGAATAAGGGCTGCTATTTATAGCAGCTATAAATGCGATGAGTACACGTGTCAACAATCTAACGTCCGAGGGGTCACCTCAATCGGCGTGGCACCGACATATACATGTGCACCGCATTAAATGCGGTGGGTGGATGTGACGTCGTATTAAATGCGGTGGTTGGCTGTCTCTAAAACGAATCTTCGTCGATAGTTCTGTTGCCGAAGGCATCGTGTGGCCGAAGGCATCATGTGGCCGAATGCATCATGTGGTCGAAGGCATCCTGTGGCTGAAGGCATCCTGTGGCCGAAGGTATCGTGTGGCCGAAGGCATCGGGTGGCCGAAGGCATCGTGTGGCCGAAGGCATCGGGTGGCCGAAGGCTAACATTTTAGCCAAGATTTTCCAGAAGCTTTGCAGGACCATATTAAGATGTCTCCCAGAATTTGGAGCCCTCAGCCATAGGGCCGAAGGCATTCACGTGTGCAGCGTGGGCTTCTTCATGCTTGGGCCGCTACGTTTCGGCTTTGTATGCTCATCAGGCTTGATGGGCCAGTGTAGAAGAAGCAGGAGTCTGTGGGCCGGGGTGTCCCGGGCCATATACTCCATCACCTTATGTAATACTTGAGATTTAATTTAAACGGGTTAATAGTACTACTCATACCAACAAGTTGCATCTCCTTTTAAGGGAGCTCATTAGCCAAGAACTCCAAAGTTAAGTGTGCTTGCACGGGAGTAGTCTTGGGATGGGTGACCCCCTAGGAAGTTTCTTAGGACGCGCACAAGTGAGGACAAAGTGTGCGGAAAAGGCTAGTGGCGGTTTATGCGGACGGTACTAGAGGTCCGTAGAGGGCTACACGAGTGAGAACAAATGGATATTCCCATCACATTTTTGGACTGAGTTGTGGGGGATTAAATTTCTTTAAACACAAAACGTGTGTGTAGTATTCTTCAGCAACAATGCGAAAAGTGCTACACTTCTTTGTAGGGTTCAATTCTAATAATGAGAAAGGTTCTTCCCGTTATAATGAGAATGATGTACATTTTGGTTCATGAAGTTGCACATGTCACGTTAAGACAATGCACATTTCACAGGAGCAGAAAAAGTTCAATTTATTTACAAAACGTCGTCGTTTTTCAACCATGATATGCACACTTCAGTTTCAAATGATACACAACTCTGAAATCCAATGATTTAGATCCATTTTAAATTCTATCCTAAATACAAAGTATCACCACTTCACTTTTTGTAATAGTGTTGGTGCATAACTTTATCAATTCAGATCTGTTGTTGATTTCATATCTGTGGGAGTTTCAGATGGGCTATGGGGTTGGTGGCAAAGAGGGCGGTGGTTGTTGGGGCAAGGATGTGATGCTGGTCGGTGCTAGGGGCGAATCCAGTTGTGGAGGGATTGCTGGTCGGCGCTGAATGCGGATTCGGTTGTGACAGGTTGCTAGCCGGCGCTGGGGTGGATCCAGTTGTGGCAGGTTGCTGGGGCGGCGTTGGGCGGTTAGACTGTAGCGTGGCGAGGCGAGTCTGGGGTGCTGTGGAGGGGAGCAAGGTGATGGTCGGACATTTTGACGGAAGTTTGTTAGGGCAATGGGGTTGGGTTAAGCTTAAGCGTGGGGTGTTAGGGTTGGGGTGTGGGGCTAGGGTCAGGGGTGCTGGGGCTTGGACTAGTCTCTTAGTAGACTGGGGGGGTCAGGCGTTGGTGTGGGCTGGGCGGCACTATTACTGAGGCGGCATCATTAAAGCGGCATCACTGAGACGATGTCACTATGATGACGTCACTGTGACCGGCGGTGACAAGAAGTGGTAGCGGCAGTGACAAATCATAGTGACACGAAAAAACCGCACTGACATGAAAAATGTGACCGACGGGGGCGCCGGTGGTAGTGTACGCCGGAAAAAGGTTGCCGGGAAATTTTCCAACGGTATATAGCGACATTCAAAAGTGACATAAAAATCTGATAGTGACATATAATAGAGACATACAAATTTGGCAGTGACACCACCTTTTTCCATATATGTGACCTTCTTAGTCTCATTTTTGTCCTTTACAAAAATGGTCACTTTTTTGAAAATTAGTTTCAATTACGTAACATTCAAGGAAAAAGTCCAAATGTGAAGAATCACAAATTAGTTGCTTCAAAAAAAAGTATTAAAAATTTTTGGAACAACAATAAAGGAAAAATGGGCAAAGTTCAATGGGACGGAAGAAGTATTTGTCATTATTTCAAACAAAAAAAAAAACGAAGTAATAATGGAGTGCGGACTTAGTGACACTCCGTCATTAATACGAGTACTATGTAAAGTGGTAAAAACAAGAGGTATTTACCTAAATACGAGTAAATCAATCTTTACTTGTCAAAATAGGACTAAAGTTTAAAAACCCTTAAATAGGAGTTATTATTTGTAGTTATACAAAAACAGCCTTGAAGCTTGGAGAGCAGATTACCGATGATAGAATCCAAACTACCGTCAGCCACCGGTCACCGTCGGTTTCTAGTCGCTGGCCGCCGCCGGCTGCCTCAGAACCGGACACCGCCATTACAGAACTAGCCATCATCCATACAGATCTATCCGCCGCCCATATAGATCTGGTCGTTGTTGGGGCAGATATGGCCGTTGCGTCGTAGATCTGACCATATTTTACCGTCGCCAATCCCGGGCCTTGCAAATCCAATTGCCGCCGTTGGATGTCCGACCGTCACTGCAGCAGATCCAGCTAACCCCGCCGCTAATTCCAACAATTTTTTTAGAATGCCAAAATGATTTAAGAATGCCATTTTAATGGCATTTTCTTAAGAACTTATGAAAATTTTTTAGGTGTAAGTGCCATTTTGATGACATTTTCAGGTAAAATTTGGCAATTTGAACCGCCAAAGAAGAAGTAGAGCAAAATACATGCGATGAAACATAAGAGGGGAAGAGGAAAACACATAAGAGGAGGAAGGAGGGAAAGATACTCCGACTATAGATTTCCGACTTGCTAATCACTCCCTCCTTGCTTGGCTCTGCCCACCTCTTTTGTTCGCTACTCCTCGCCGCATCGAGAAGCTCACTATGCAGCTTGCAGGTTCTCAATCGGAGAAGATGAGCAGAGGAAAAAACACATCTAGCAACCTGAGATATGAGCAAATCGAAGAAGAGTAGTTGATGTGGGAGAAGAAATTAGGAATAAAGAGAGGTTGATTTGAAGAAAACAGAAGCTCATTTGGAGAGAAGAGAAGTTGATGTCTGGAGAATGGAAGTTGAAGGGGGGCTGATTTGCGTAGATGAGGTAGCCAATGCGCTTAAAACGGTAAAATTGGAAGAATAAGTTCTATTTAGGGAATAAAATTATAGTTACTCCTATTTGAGAATTTCAGCAACAATTTAGTCCTATTCAGAACGATAAATCTAAAGAGAAGCCAAATTCTACACCAGTCTATTTGTACCACACAAAGCAATCAACGACCACGGACTACTAGCAATACATTTTAGTCACAAAGAACGGGAGCACTTGGACCTCTTTACCCTCACAAAATCACATCAACCATGAAGAAGCTAGCTATCTGAATAACACATACTCCATACTAGTATTTGGATTTTCAAAAATATTGAATTTGAATCTCATAACTGCCGGAATGGCCACACCTTTTTTTTTTTTTGATTTTTTTGAACGTTGGAGGTCTTATCCAGAGAGTAATCAATTGAAATATCCAGACCCACAATTACAGCATTAAAAATGCACAACAAATACTTATCCCTGCGGTAACAAATCTCCCACCGTTGAAACCAACTACCCCGTTAGCATCCGCGTTCTGATCTGCGACTTCACCGGCCGGAGCATCAGCCGGAGACTCGGTGTGAGATTTATTAGTTGGCTTACGCTTCTTACCGGCGGCAGGTTTAGGAGACTCGGCGTCGTCTTCCTCCCGCGATGGCGAGGGAGCAGGTGTGGGGACGGGCGCCGGTTTAAAGAGCTCCTTCGGCATTAAGACCTCATCGATCGTTAAAATGACCAGTGGTTGTTTATTCCACAAAGTTCCCGTAATCTTCGCCTTGTTGATCTTCGTCTTGAGCGTCACATCCTGGCCGTCATTTTGAACGTTGATGCCGAAATTGGGCCCGTCGGTGGCTAAAGTGTTCAGGTCGCCGTTGTTTGACCTCAGAGACTGGAGCGTCTGGTACACTGGGATGCCATGGTACTCCAGCAGAGATTCCTGCTGATCTTTGGTTAAATTTTTATATTTCGGGATGAATTTCCGCATCGCGTCATCGACTGGGCAAAAGATGGTTAATCCGCCCTCGATGTCGCCCTCGAATGTCTGCTCGGCTGCGGAGTGACGGAGCATCTCGGCGAATAATTTGCACTCGTGAGCCGACATTATCTGCGTGACGCTCGTCTCGGTGGGGACGGGAGCCGGTGCTTCCGCCACCGCTGACGGAAGTACCCTAGTGATATGAATGATGGAAATGTTGTAAGGAATCTCTTCAACGGCCTTGACGAAAGTGGCCTCGGGGATGGCTGCCCCGTTCCCCTGAGATCCAAATCCGACCTTGCCACCTTTCAGATCCATGATGTTGACGAATCCGGTGGCGCCGGGAGCGGATCCGGTGGCCTGGAACATAGTGGCGGCCAGGGCAGTGCCATTGGTGAGCTGGTGAAGCTTCTTCGAGCCGTAATAGTCTAAGATCACGTGTGAGGAGAGGATATTCTTAATAGTGTAGATCGAGTGCTGCTTGGCGAGAAGATCCGCCATGGCATCCTCGTCAACGGCGCAGACAGTAATAGTCTCCCGGTTGTTGATGTCGGTGGCCAGGCGAGTGAGTGATAAGTAGTGGTTGAAGGTGGAGAACTCCTTGTATTTGGCCAAGATGGTGGTGATGTTGTGAGCTTCCCCCGCAGATGGCAAAAGCAGCAGTATTAGGGTGAGAAACGCCGTGGCTGCGGCTGCCGGCGGTAGGAGCTGCATTTTGGCAGAAGGGTAGTAGTGGCTTGAGATTACTGGAGTTGTGGAAGTGATTTGTTTATGGTGTGATAGATTTGTAGCCAGCAAGTTCACGATGGAAAGACCAGTATGGGGCAAAGCTGTCTCTAGTCTGTACTACAATGTGTGATTTATTTGAGAAAAAATCTTTTTATACAAAAATTCATACATACTCCCTCTAACTTTCTAATTTCTAGATAATTCTTCACCATCTACTCAAAACTTAATTACACGGTTTTTACTTTTTCATTTCTCATTTCGAATAAATTTAACAAAATTTTAAGAGATAGAGGTAGTATTTGACACGCATTTCTATATAACTGTCTATATACACACCATCTACATCCCTACTTGTCTACACATAGGGAACTAGTGCAACAATTGTATATATAGGATGTTTTTACTTGGACTGTAATTTGCTGGTCTGGTCTGGTCTGGTCTGAACTGATCTGTTCTGGTCTGGTTTCTTTGTATTTTTATAACTATCCAAGTCTGGTCTGGTTTGAACTGGTCTGGTTTGATCTGGTCTGGTTTGGTCTGGGACGAATTAGAGTCCAAATAAAAACATCCATAGAAACAATTACATACAAATTTGTATCAAATATGTACAGATTTTGCGTACAAATTTAAATGAAAAACTTACTAAAAATGGAAAGTGTAACAAAAAATAATATACATCTTAAAATAAAAGGAGAACTATTAAATAAGCTCTCGAACTTTCATAAAAAGTGCAAATAAGTTCTTATATTAGAGGCTCTGTCTGACATCGCCATTTGGGGCGGTTTCCGATGGAATTTTTAATGAAATTTTTTGAGCATTTTTTTCATTAAATCTAATTTACTCATACCAAATTTCAGCTAAAAATTCAATCAGGAAAACACTCAAATGAATTTTTGAAGATAACCGCGCAGTTAGACAGCGCACTATATTTCAGAAAATCATTTTACTGACTTTTTTGATGATTTTTTAGCTGAAATTTGGTATGGCTAAACTAGACTTAATGAAGAAGATGCTTAAAAAATTTAATCAAAAAATTCCACCGGAAACCGCCCCAAATGGTGACAGCCGAACAAAGTCTCCTGTAAAAGGGCTTACTTGCATTTTTTATGAAAGTTCAAGGACTTATTTGATAGTTCTCCTTAAAATAAAAGTGTAGCAAATAAAAGAATTAATACGACGAGAGTAGGATAGTAGAAATAACATGTACTCCCTCTGTATCAGAGTAACAATCTCACTAGACTTTTCACGTAATTTGAGATAGTTTATAGGTTTACTGTACACTTTTTAGAAAAATAAAAGATTTTTTGTAGCGTAGCAGATACCATAGCACTACTGTTTACTTTCTCAAAATTACTTTTGTGGTGGAACTATTTCAACCGATGGAAGACACATTTATTTCCATATGGTCAAAAATGAAAGTGAGACATTTAGAAGCTATTCTGTTCGTCTTATTCTTATTACATATTGCTTATTCTTATTTTATTCAGATCAGATCATATCATATCAAAAAAATTCAGATCAGATCAGATTAGATCAGAAAGATTCAGATCAGATCAGATCAGAAACATTCAGATTAGATCAGATCAGAAACATTCAGATCAGATCAGACATATTTAAATCAGATCAGAAACATTCATAGCAAATTGGAAATATTCTATTATTATCGATTATATACTAATAATAATTATTATTATTATTTATAATCTAAGTAGAATGACATATTGTATTAATAATAATATTAGGGAAAATTGTCAAATAAGTCCCTATACTTTTATCAAAAAGTCAATTAAGTCCTCGTATTTATAAATGAACCAATTAAGTCCTTCAAGTATTTAAAATCAATCATTTTTTCTATTTAGCCGGTTGAACAAAAATATGGCCGGTTAATCCTGATATGGAAGTCCACGTGTCAATAAATTTTATTTTTTCCTTTTCTTTTTTATTTTCTTTTTCTTTCGTTATTTTTTTCTTTCCCAGCTGGCTTCTTCTTCCCGGATGCATCACCCAGTTCTTCTTCTTTCCTTTCTCTCTAGTACTGTTCAATTTCTTTCTTGATTTCTACCTCACCTCATATTCTCTCAGTGGCTTTTCTTTCTCGATTTCTGCCTCACCTCATATTCTCACAGTGGCTTTTCTTTCTTCTTTCCTTTTAGGTTCTCTTTGGAGCGGCGGGCAACAATGGTTGGAGAAGGTGTTGCCGACGAGCGGCAGGCAGAGAATGATATTGGAGATGGGACGACGCACAAGCCTAGAGATGGTTGTGGGCAACCGGAGGCGAGAGATGGCGAAGGTGGGTAACGGCTGGGTAAGTTATGGTTGTGGACGATCGGTGGCATATAGGTGGCGACGAGGATGCGGCGGCGGTTGGGGAAGTTGTGGTCGCCGGCGGTTGAGGGAGTTGTGGGTTACAAAGGGATGCTCTAATTTGCTAGAAGAATAAAAGAAAGAAATGCGCAGAAGAACTAAGAACGCAGGGAAGAAGAAATGGTCAGCGAGGAAGAGAGAAAGGGAGGATTCACGTGGATTGCAACGTGTGTATGACACCGGTGGACCGGATCTCAACCGGTTAAAAGGCTAATTTGATTGTTTTTAATACTTCGGGGACTTGATTGATTAAATAAAAAGTATGAGGACTTAATTGACTTTTTCGTAATAGTATAAGGACCCATTTGACAGTTTTCTCATAATAAAAATATTATTATTATTATTATTATTATTATTGTTATTATTATTATTATTATTATTATTATTATTATTATGTATGTATGTATGTGTACATATATACACCCATGGTAAGATGAACGACCAATGTGGTTTAATTAATAGAGATGTTCGTCGATCTCGTTCATGTCTTTAACTATCTTCCTCTCGAATACTCAATCGAGGAGTATATCCAGTTCATCGATGATAGTTATTAATAACGAGATGCGTTCATTAATAAAACTTACTATCGAGTCAATATAAAACAAGCGCCGTATATTAACTTGATAGTAGCAATAAACTTAGGATGAAAACTATTGAGATTGATAACCTCAACACAAGCGGTTTATTGGTTTAATCAATATAATTAATTCCCCTTGACATATTAACCATGAGATGCATGCATTAATAATCCAAGTTTACTACTGTTGAAAGAACCGGATTAATAACAAGCGTATTAACCGATTGATTCTAGTAATAATTAATATAAGAAACAAAACTACATGATACTTTAAGTAATGCTCAAAATATTAATATGGAATATGAATAGGAAAGAATTAATATTCAAGGAAGAAGATTAAAGAAAATAACTCACAACTTACAAATCATTAAGCTTCAAAATAGCAAAACCAAGATGGAAGAGTTTAGCTCCTCAGTTGGAGACTAAACATGATGAAAAATACAGACTGAGCTTAGATGTATAAAGGAATTGGATATCTAATTGTGAAGGAAAGGGGTGTAGTTATAGGCTTTTGAGATGTAGCTATGGTACCCGATCGGGTATATACAAGGTACCCGATCGGGTATGTGTAATACCTCAAATTCGAGGTATACTTGATCGATCGATGCCTAAATTTCATAAGCATACCCGATCGAGTATGCCTTTGTACCCGGTCGAGTATGCTTATAACTTCAGATCCGGGGCATACTCGACCGAATTCAGGTTTGTTTTTGAAGAGATACCCGATCGGGTTTGTCGGTGTACCCGATCGGGTATGGACATTCGATCGTGGTTCGAATCTTCGCTACATGATCCTTTGTCTTCGGATCTGATCCATTTGAAATTTCAACAGGATACCCGATCGAGTATAGGTCATACTCGACCGGGTATAGACCAAAAAATCAGGATCTTCTTTCTTTTTTATTTTTGCACCTTCCTTCCACTTTTTGGGGTTCACCAACTGTCCTTTGAGTTGATCAAGACCTGTTTGAGCTCAGAATAAATCTAATCTAAACAATTTACAAGAATTTAACAAACTAAGCTATTACACCAAAAGTGTGTAATTTCCAAAGTAAAAATCAATCAAAACCAATTAAAAACACAAACATACAAATGGAAATTACAAGCGTATCAACTCCCCCACACTTAGTTTCTTTACTCGTCCTCGAGTAAAGTCAAATGTTCACAAGTGTTTAAGTTTTCCAAAGTTTCAACAATTTTACAAGATAAAAGCACAAAGACCACCAATGATAAAATATGAGTTTTAAGTACAAATATTATCTTAGGTTTTATGGCCTTCTAGTGCTCATCTTCTCTTCTCCTCCTCTCTTCTTCTTCCTCTTTTCTTGACTCTTCTTTTCCTCCCAGGAGATGAAATGAGTGCCTGCAAGAACAAATATTTCTCTCATATCTCTCATTTTGCCTAGGAGCCTTTTCAGGTTTTCATCCTAGCATCTCTTTTCATTTTCCATTCTCCCCAACTCACTCTTTTTTTATAAGCCTTTTTTGCTTAGATTGCCCATTTTGTTGGGTTTTCAACCTAACTAGCATTTCTTTTCTTTTATTTATTCTTTTTTTAATACCAATGGTAAAAGAAATTCATGCGTAGTGAAAGGGAATAAATGAAAATACATACCATAAGAGTCTCTCCCCCACACTTAGGCCAAGCACTGTCCCTAGTGCTCGCCTTCTCCGCCGTAGTAGTTGCCTCCGAAGCCGCTCCCTTGCCCGTCATCTCCCATGTATGTGTCCCCGTCATCTCCGTCGTCGTACCCTCCAATCCCGGAGCTAGATCCTCCAAAGTTACCCCAATGAGTGGGGTCATACCACGAGGGTGGTGGAGGGGGGTTCGCCATGGTCTGAAAAGATCCTTGCTGGGCCATGTAAGAGTACATAGGTCCGTAGAACCTACATTGATCTTCTTCATACCGATGCTTGTCGGCTTCCCGGAGCTCCTCCAACCGTTGAAAACCCGCCCTTTGCTCCTCCTGTATTTGGTTGAGCCGGTCTCCCATGGCCATGTAGTTTGTGTTCATTTGATTGTATCTCGCAAGCAGTTGTTGTTGACCCTCCAAACGTTGTTGAAAGAAGTCGGGTGGTGGGGGGTTTTGAGTTTGCTCGGGGATGTCGGCGTCCATGTCTTCATGACCATGGGGTTCAGCATAAGGCTCGTACTTGGGTTGGTATTGGGGAGACT